TGTATAGCCTATTTGTTTATTTTTATGTCCAAAGTACATTACTTTGCATTTATCGACATTAAACCTCATCTGCCATTGTATTGCCCATTCCCCTATTTTATCCAGGTCCTCCTGTAATGTTATATTGTCACGATCCGTTTCTAGTACCCTCCCTATTTTTGTATCGTCTGCAAACACGGAAACATGGCTATTTATTCCCTCCCCGATGTCATTAATGAATAGGTTGAACAGTATCGGACCCAGCACAGATCCTTGAGGCACACCGCTCATTACACTAGCCGAAAAGGTGCCATGTACAGATACTCTCTGGACACGTTACCATAGCCAGTTCTCTATCCACGTACACACCACCTCATCTATGCCCATAGCCCTCAGCTTGTGAAGTAAGCGCTTGTGTGGTACCGTATCAAATGCCTTTGCGAAATCCAGATATACCACATCTACCGGGCAGATAGATGTGGTATATCAGGCAGGAATGGTCTTTCCTGAACCCATGCTGATTGTCATTAACTATGCCCTTATCCTTAACAAATTTTACCAAATAGTCCTTAATTATACCTTCTAACAGTTTACAAACTACCGATGTTAGACTGACCGGCCTATAGTTCCCTGGTTGGCATCTAGCCCCCTTTTTGAATATTGGAACTACCGTAGCCCTCCGCCAATCACATGGTACCCTACCAGTCACTAAGGATTCCTTAAAAATTAGGAATAATGGTCTTGTTATAACCTGGCTTAATTCCTTAAGTACCTTGGGGTGAAGGTTATCTGGTCCAACTGCTTTATTTGCATTGAGCATTTTAAGTCTATGTTCTATTCCGCTTTCCGTCAACCATTGTGGTATATTATCGGTTGAACTATGTGTTTTATCACGTACGTCGAACCCGTTTCCCTCCTGAGTGTATACTGAGGAGAAAAAATTTTCAGCGCCTCGGCCCTCTCCTTGTCACTTGTGAGTAACTTCCCGTTTTCGTCCTTTATTGGGCCTATCTGCTCCTTTCTCACCTTTTTACTGTTAATATATTGGTAGACTTTTTTGTTGTTTTTTTTACTATCTGCGGCGATATGCTTTTCGCATTCTATTTTAGCTTCCTGGATTACTAGTGTGCATTTTTTGATTACATTCCTTGTATTTAAGGAACGCCAATGCCGTCCCTTCCATCTTATATTTAATAAATGCCATTCTCTTTGCCTTAACATGTAGTTTTACAGTTTTATTTAGCCATATCGGTTTAGTCTTTGATCTTTTGTTTTTGTTACCCAATGGTATACACTTTGAAATGGCAATATGTAATGTGTTCCTGAAGCAGTCCCACATTTGGTCTGAGTTTAGGTTGTGAAATGAGTTATCCCATTTTATTTCCCCCACTAGTTTGCGCAACTTATCGAAGTTTGCCCTTCTGAAATTAAGGGTTCTTGTCCGTCCCGCCCTCTTTCCTTTCCTGTATTTAATATTGAAAGTAATCACATTGTGATCACTACTACCCAGTGTCTCCCCAATTACAATATCCTCGATTAATTCCCCATTATTAGTAATTATTAAATCTTGGATGGCATTCAGTTCCTCCTCTTAACCAGCCCGTTCCTCCCCTGCCCTGCCTCGTTCCTCCTCTGCCCTGTCCCATTCCTCTTCTGCCCCGCCCCCCATGCCTCTGCTGCTGCTCAGTTCCTCCTCTGTATCTAGAGGCTGGAGGCCATACCCAGCCTGCTATTGGATATTTTAAAATGCAATAGCCAATAGCAGGCTGGCTATTGCACCCGCCTACTGCCTGCTGTCAATCAGCAGAGGAGGGCCTGATGGAGAACTTTCTCCTTCAGTTCCCTCTGCTGCTGATTAACAGCAGGCAGTGGGCGGGTGCCATAGCCAGCCTGCTATTGGCTATTGCAATTTAAACCAATAACCAACAACAGGCTGGCTATTGCTCCAAGCCACAGCAGCTGAATTCAGTGAAGTAGAAAGGTGACACTAGGGGTCTAAAAGACCCCTAATGTCACCTTAAAGAGAATCTGTCTTCTCAAATGTGCTATCACATAGGGGGCTTGTGAGCCCCCCATGTGATAGCAATGAAGTTAAAAAAAAGCCAGGCATCATTTTCATCTATCCAGCGTCACCTCCGAGCATAAGCCGGAGCCTCTTCTGCACCATGTGACAGGTCACCCCGGCAACCAAAGGGAGGAGCACAGAGTCCCACCCTCTCTGCCATCTTATCAGAGCCCTAAGCTGAATAGTGAGTTTCTGGCAATGTCCCAGGGGAACTGCTGTGGGGAAAAAATAATATCGGAGGAGCTTATTTTTTTTTTCAAATTTAATTTGCATTTACTGCCTCTAGAAAAACGGGGATGCTAGTTTCCCGGGGACAGACCTCTTAAAATGCGGACTGTCCCTGGGAAACAGGGACTATGACAACCTTAGTGTATAAAGTTAAAAATAGATCCCATAATATATAGAAGTACATAAAACAAAGCAGAAATCCTGCACTCAACCTTCTGGATTAGCAAAGAGGGTCATAAATAAAAGGAAAACTGAATGTTTATTTTTTTCTTTAGCAGATGTATATTTTTTATTCACTGATGTTTATATACTTTAGCAATTTTTCACATAACTGAAGTAAACATTTACTATAGGCGTTATCCATGACACCCAGTTCTTCAAGTATGCTGGACTTTCCCATGAAAGCAGAAAGGGAGGGGGTTGTTTTTCTCTGAGCCTCACTGTGCACTGAGATTGCATGCAACCACACCAAAACCAGGAAAGAACAGAACAGAATAGAATGCAAATATGACAGGAGCCAAGGGCTATGTATTTTGAATACTGGAAATGCCAGAAGGGCCAGCAGAGCCTTTGCACAAACCATGTACTTTATTTCTAAGGCAGGTAATGAGTGTTTCCAAACATCAGAAGCAGTCATTATAATTATGCCTGGTCCCGCTCTTCGTGCTGTGGTTCTATCTATTGGCCCCTATGTGACTACAGGACTGTTGGATGGAACCACAGCATACAATTGAGGAACAGGAATACGACACACCTGGATGTGTGTTGGAATGCATATGCTTGTTTCAGCCACCAGAGCTCTGCAAAAGCATGAAGATCAGCAATTTGAGTGGCAGGATTAGTAAGTTTTCTTCACAGGGTGGACTTTTAAAAAATGTTCTTATATAGTGAGTGTATCTCTAGGAAAAACCTTTGGGATAGATAGTTAATCCAAATGCACGCCAAATGTTAGCGGAATCACATTAACTTTTATTAAGCAGTACACATGGCAGATAAGTTGTTTTCAAACTGCAGGCAAAGCAGGTCAAACACTGATTTCCATTCAAACAAAGCTGCATAGCTTTTAACTATAACGCCCATCAACATGAACCCCTAGTTATCAAGATTGGAAGTTTTCATCTCACCTTCTGTTTCGGTGACAATGGTCACCAGTGAGGGTGAATCCTGGTGTGAGTACAGTAATAAAAACCCGATAGAGATTCTCTCTCTTTCCTACTCTACAGAACAAAACCCATTGTGGCTAAAGATACACAATAAGGACTGGAAGATGCGTCGCTGCCTGTACTTTTTTATGCAACATTTCCTTATCTGTGGACAACTCTTTATATGTATGCACAATCTATCATATATTGTAGCAAATTCATACCTTAAGAATCCCGGGCAACTCATTCTCCATCAGGTTCTTCAACTCCGTTTTGGTTAAAGTTTCTTTTTTGCCTTCTGTACCGGCATATTTGTCGAAGACATCCATGATCAGAACCATCACGGTCTCCAATTCTGTCATTCTTGCAGTCACCTGGGCAGCTGATGATTCTGGTAAGAGGTTATAGGCAGAGTGTAGTGTCTGAGCTTTGCTGCAGCTTATATAGGGAATCTTTATCTTAAGTAAATACACTGCATCAATAGCCATGACTGGGTGTAACATCCTTACTATTAACAAAAGTAAATAGGCAATTCAAATTCTTTGGGTGGATAGGTGATAATAGCACCACACATGAATTCACATTGTACCAAACAAAGAAATAAAAATGGGGCTTTTTAGGTGCTACTTAAAGATCACATGTTCCTTCAATTAAAGGTACATTGAACTCAGGATTGAAATATTAAAAATGCATTTAACCCTAATTAACAGAACTATACCTTTTTTGTGCATCACTCAGCTGTAGATCCTCAGATCATCTCTGAGTTGGTGTTCACACTGTCCTTCCTTCTGGAGGGTTGCCCATAGTCCCTGTGTGTTTTTTTTAAAGTAGCCACCACTCCAAACTCCCGTGATGGACTACAATATCAAAGCAAACCAGTAAACTAAATGTGAGACTGTCTTCACCGTCTTTCTTGAATCTTTCACAGGAGTGTGCTTGGAGCGGTGGCTACTTTAGAACATACAGGAATCATGGGGACAAAAGTAGCCACCCTCCAGAAGGATGGACAGTGTCAGCACCAATTCAGAGATAATTTGAAGCTCTACAGCTGAATAATGCATAGAGTAAGAGATAACCAGACAAGTTGAGGTAGGGAGTATCAGAGGATGGAAGATACACTAGAAAAAGTCCATGGGAGGAGTTGGCAAGGGAGCTAGAGAGCCGGAGGTCTTGAGAGGGGTGGAGAGGACGCTTAGAGTAAAATTTGAGGCAAAATTGAAATTATACCCAGGGGCAGAGTTATGGATGGCTCTGTAAGTGGTTGTTAATATTTTGTATTGTTTTCTTTGGGTGATTGGAAGCCAGCAGCATTCATGATAGACTGAAGGGGGTATAGCCTTTGAAGAGATAGGCCAATGAGGAGGAAGTTGCAATAGTCAAGATGAGAGATAATAAGCGAGTGGTTTAATAGCTTTGTGGTTTCATTGGTTAGGAAGGGGCATATTTTGGAGATGTTACAAAGGTGAAAGTGGCAGGATTTGGATAGTGATAGGATGTGGGTCTGAAAGGTGAGGTTAGTGTCCAGGATATCATGGCACCTTGGCATAGGGACAAAATATATTTTAGGAGGCCTTTATACAGGAGGAAGTCTTGCAGGGACCTAAAATTACACCACACTTGCTGAAGAACACGGCTATATCTTTTAAGTTGTCTGGTATTTTCTGTTTGCCAAGGTTGTAGTGGACACTGCCTAAGTCTGTGTGTAGTGAGAGGAGCCAGTGCGTCTAGGGAGGATGAGCACGAGCTGTTGTAGAGAGATGTGACCAGGTTAGGGCTGGATATGGGTGAATTTACGTCATAGAGATAGTCAGTCAGTAGAGAAGAGAAGGATTAGGTGACAAAGGTTACTCTAGGTAACAGTTTGCTGGTTGGGGAATGTGTTTTTGGGGATGGGGTGAGCTTGAAACTGACAAGGTTGTGGTCAGACAGAGGAAAAAGGGTGTTTGAAAGGTTGCAAGAAATGCAGAGAGGAGAGAACTCAAGGTCTAGTAGATTGCCATCAGAATGAGTAAGAGTGTGTATCTATTGTGTAAAGTCAAAAGAAGAGATTAGGTTGAATGGGGTGTTATCATGAATAGCAATGTTACAGTCACCAAGAAAAATAGTGGGTTATTCAGAGGAGAGAAAGTAAGGTAGCCGGGCAGAGAAGTCATCAAAAAACTGAGATACCAGTCCAGGAGGCCAATAAATCACAGCAATCCCCAAGGAAACCGGAAAAAATAGGAGAATATTGTGGGCTTCAAAAGAGGAGAGAGATAAAGAGAGGGAGGTGAAGGCAGAACTTGAAAAATGTATTGTGGGGATAGAATGATTTAAACTCTACCTCCTTTTCATCCACTGGGCCTGTTTGGGTGAGTCCAGTGGAGGCCACCATGGGAGAGGGCAGCAGGGGAGGCAGATCCCTGAAGCCAGGTTTCAGTAACAGCAAGCATGTTAAAGATGTTGGAGATAAGATCATGGACAGCAGTGGGAGAAATCTCCAGATGTCAGAAGAAACAGGAATGTGAGGGAAGGGAGATGTGGGAGCGTGTGCACACATGCCCCAATATCCTGGAGGTAACCCTAGCATGTGGGTTAGTAGGAGGTGATGATTGCAGCAAAAGAAATTTTTTTTAACTAATATCTATATATATATATATATATACTGTTTGGTGGAGTAGAGGGGTTAAAGAAAGAATGTTTAAGAAGAGAAGACATGATTGTGAGCAGCAATGGGGAGAAGGCATATTAGGGGATGAAGAGTAGTAATCAGGGTTGTTGAGACACATGGTTTATTAAAAAAAAAGTCTGATACCTATGTACAGTATTGTAAATTACAAATCTTTATTTATAAAATGTGACAGACTTAAATAGTTATTTCTTGGCGCATTTCTGGGCGCATTTCTGAAATTTCTCATGTGCCAGGCAGGTGAATGAAGCAACAAAGATGATAAATTCTTTAAAGTCAACTTCTGAATCGCCATTTTCATCCAGATCCTTTATAAGTTTGTCACAATCATCCTTTCCTTTCCCACCCTAAAACAAAAATAAAATTTAGTAAATGAGTGGATTATATAGATGATTAACATCATGTAAACATGTTTCAATGTTATCTTTTGGCCTAGACATATTCTTGTTTTAATTATTCTTGTAGATGACACATTTATGTGCTTACTAGACACATAGGGGTCTATTTACATTTTTTTCACACAAGGGTCATACAATTTACACCCAGGATTCACATATTTTCCAATTGAATCTAGTTAGAAAATGCATGAATCTTGCGTGAATACAATTAACAACAGATCCCATAATGTGTAGACATGCATACAACAAAGCAGTTGCACACAACCTTGCAGGTTAGCACAGAGGATCACAAATAAGGAAAACTGAATGTTTTTTTTTCTTTAGCAAATGTATGTATATTTTTTATTCACTGATGTTGATATACTTTTGCAATTTATCACATAACTTAAGTAAACTTTTATTATAGACTTTATCCATGACACCCAGTTCTCTGAGCATGCTGGGCTTTCTAATAAGATAGCATAGCACTGCCTGCAGCTTTTGGCAGCCCTTGCAGGAGGACATTCTCATGAAAGCAGAAAGGAAGAGGGTTATTTTTTTACTCTGAGCCTTCAAAGTGCACTGAGATTGCATGCAACTCACCATCTACTGGATCTATATTTACTTGATCAGAAAGAAATGAAATATGTAGTATATAATCAGTTTATAATAAAGAATATAAAATCATTATAATGTTAAGTATAAGTTCAGGTTTCATTTCTTTACATTTGAAAATCTTTTTAGACTAGTTACACACCAAAACTAGGACAAAACAGAATAGAATAAAAAGATGCATATATGCCAGGAGACCAGGATTATATATCTCAAATGCTGGAAATGCCAGGAAGATCAGCAGAGCCTTTGTACAAGACATGTACTTTATCTCTAGGGCAGATAAGGGGCAGAGGGCAGAGCGTTTCCAAACATCAGGAGCATTCATGATGATTGTGCCTGGTCCACCTATGCTTGCTGTGGTTCTTTTCATTGGCCACTATGTGACTACAGTACCGTTGGATGGAATCACAGCTTTCAGAGTTCTGCAAAAGCATGAAGATCAGCAATTTGAGTGGCAGGACTGGTAAGTATTAACTGATATCTTCACAGGGTGAACATTTTGAAAATGTTCTTATGTAAAGGGTGTATCTCTAGACTAAACTTTTTTCTTTTTTTATGGCTAGGATAGGGATTTCAAAAGCCAGAACCTCTGTCAGGTTTTTTTTTTTTTTTGCTGTCTGCGCCTGTTGGTTCATGAAATGCAGTTCAACAGAATCCCATTAACTAGGTATGCACTGATATCGGTGCCAATACTGGGCATTTTCACAAGTACTCACAAAAAAAAGCCCAGATGCTAAACGCTGATACCGGCACTTTAAAATTTTAAACTAAAGCTGCTGCCTGAGGTCCCACGCTTGCTGGGGACCTCGGCAGTCTGCCTGTTACAAAGGCACCTGTTTACAACGCTGGTCCGCACATCTCTTCCTCCTTACTGGTGAACGACAGGGAGCTGCTTACAGTGCTTCTGCCGCCCGCAAAACCATCTGGACCCCTGGTGAGACCCCGCACATCCCACGCGAGACCCTGGAGACACCAGGCCACCACCCTGGAGCAACACAGAGTCTGTAACTTTATATTATTCTGCATTGCTGTATTTGTTGTTGGGATATGTAGTTCTCTATAGCTGGTTGTATTCAGCATTGCTGTATAATGTTTTGCTGAGAATTCTAGTCCCTCTACAGCTTGGAGTCAGTCGCAGAACTACCAGGAGCACAGCGGTTGCAGCTGCGACCCGGCCCTGGTGCTCCACCACTGTCCTAAAATGAATAGCCTGTATTGTTTTAGAAAAACATGACACACACACAAAAAAGTAATGATAATTGGTATTGTCAGAAGTATCAGTACTCAAACTTGAAAAAAAATGGTATCGGTGTATTCCTACCAATAAGCTTAATAAAGTAGTACACATGGCAGGTCAGAGGCAGCACTTGACCTGTTCTGAGTTGCATTTCTGTAGAAGCAGCATGTCCTTTTAAGGTGTATTTGAAATGCAGGCAAAGCAGGCCAAACACTACTTTTTCATATCCAACACTGCGTTTTTCATTCAAACAGAGCATGCGTTCAAATGGTAAACACAGCATTTACCTAGAATGCCTATCAACATGAACCCCTAGTTTTCACCAGAACAGGTGCCCCTATTGGAAGATTATGTCACCTTCTGTTCTGGTGACAATGGTCACTGGAGAGGGCGAATGGTGGAAACAGCAATAAAAACCTGATAGAGGTTCTCTCTCTTCCCTACTCTATACAACAAAAACAACATGGCTAGAGGTACACTTTAAGTATTGCAAGATGTATCACCACAACTCCTAGTGCATACATATAACTCATCATACACTGTAGCACATACATACCTGAAGGAGGCCAGGCAGCTCGCACTCCAGCAGTTTCTTCAACTCCGCTTTGGTTAAAGACTCTTTTTTGCCATCTGTATCGGCATATTTGTCAAAGACATTAATGAGCAGAAGCACTGCGTTCTCCAATTGAGTCATCCTTGCAAACAGTCACCTGGGCAGCTGATGAGTCTGGTCAGAGGTTATAGGCAGGATAAAGGTTCTGTGCTTTGCTGCAGCTTATATAGGGAATCTTTATCTCAAAGTAAACACAGTGCAGCTAAAAGCCATGGCTGGGTGTAACACTCTTACAAATAACTAAAATAAATAGACTTTTTTTTAATACCAATTCTTATCTGTGTTTGGGGAATGCTGACTCAGAGCATTAGTGTTAGCCATAGTTGACTTAGTTCAGGTTGAGTTTTAATAAGAAATATCAGACACACCTTCCTACAGAGTACAGTTTTTGTTTGCTAAATCAGAATCTAGTTGTAGTCAATGCTGGATTGTATTATTGTAGTTTGTATATAAGTGAAAGTCAACATATAAGCACCAAGCCTCAAACATGGCATGCCAATTCTCTATGTTTGCTTGTATGGGGTTGATTAACTAAAGGCATATATAGGCTGTTCACATTGCAAGGGATTTTATCCCTAGGTTTAGTTAAAGTGGTGACAGTTTACTTTGGAAAGAATACCCAATCACGTGCAAGGAAAGTATGCTTACACATGATTGGATGTTGGAAGTCAGCAGAGCTTCACCTCATTTAATAAGCTACGTGAAAATTCCCTTTACAAAGCAAATATTCTATGTACCTTTCGTAAACCAAAACCTATGTCTCAAATACTGAGGAGTGCATGAAAATAACTTTTATTATAACCTGATGGACATTTTTCCATGTTATTCAAAAGCTTCTCACTCTTCAACCAATAACTAAAGCTAACCATACAGGCTGCTCGTCCTGACACAGGGTTTTTGCAGGGTTTTGACACATGATATTTTGCAGGCTTAAAGAAGAAATCCAGAATTTTCAAATGTTAACCCATGCAGTGCAGGGGTAGCCCTACTGCAAGACTGCAAGGGTTTACTTTTGAAAGTTCTGGATTTCCTCTTTAAAACTCTTTTTCAAATGTCTTGTGGCTGGGCACTTAAACACAGGGTCCTCTTTCTCTCTGCTTCTTCTCAGATTCTAGGCAGTCAGCTATGAAATCAGAGAGTGTTGCTGACATCATCACAGCATCAATGTACTGTGAATGCAGGGAACCATGTTGACTCCCTGCACTCACAGGAAGAGGACCATTGCTGGACCTGCTGATTTTTAACGTTCTGTCAACATTCAACCTTTTCACACAGCAGCAGGCTCTCACAACAGAGAGAGCTAGAGAGAGGCTGGGAGCATCAGACAGCTCACATATACAGTAAAGGCCTCTGCACATCGGAGACTGAAAAGGCCATCTGGCTACCTGGTAAGATGTGGACCTAAGCATGGAGGCTTTATCTCACCAAACGATCTACAGAACAAAGCTTAAGCATCTGAGAAAAGAAGAAGTTTGTTTTCTCCATATCAGCCATAAACCTTGGACCTCCTCGTGAAGTGTACTGTTAGTGAGATACCTAGGTGACACATACACACTGTCCACTATTCTGCCAGCCACTGCCTTACAATATACAAATGTTACCCCTTAACTCGAAGCACATAAACAAAGACTGTTATGGCAGGATCACCACATATATTTTTTTTTTAATGTAATCTTTATTTCAAACTTTTTTCACAAGAGTATCAAAAATCAACATAGACAAGATAACACTTGCAGAAAAGCACAATCAAAAACGTGTCAGTATAAAGTTTTGTGAGGAGGTGGTACAACCTTTTGGTCGACCAATCGTGAACTTTGAACCCACGTATCCAGAGGCGTAACTAGAACCTTCAGGGCCCTTGTGCAAGAAACCATGAAGGCGTCCCCCACACCCAACCCCCCACCGCTATGGCACCGCATGGTTAACAAGAAGGCTGCTGAGGTCCCTAGCAAGCACGGGACCTCAGGTAGCCGCTTGTTTCAAATTTTAGTGCCAGTGTTCTGTCACGAACGCCAACCCAGTATCTGCGCTTACGTACAGACGGGATTACCGAGAAAACCGGCATTTATTTACAAAGTATTCGTTTGTAATGGTTAATTGTGACCGTTAATAATATGCCGTCCATGGCAGTATATAACGGAAGGAATAATATTAACGATCACAATTAACGATTTAAACGATATACTTTGTAATAAATCCCTGTTTCCTCGATAATACTGGTCTGTGCGCAAGTGCAGATGCTGAGGTCGGCAAATTCGACTACGTCGGCGTTCTCGACAGAACACCGGTATCTGCGTTTAGTATCGGGGCATTTTCACGAGTACAAGTAATGCCCAGTATTGGCAGTGGTGTATCCCTACTTAAAAATATAATGCATTGCTGGGACTTGTAGTCCTACTTAGTTGGAGCTATTCTTCGTTGCTGTATAATCATCATACAGCAATGCCGAATACCACCAGCTATGCAAGACTACAAGTCCCAACAATACTTTATAATAAAAGTCAGCTATGCAGAATACCACCAGCACCCCCCCCCCACTACCCCCCCTTCCCGCTCCAGACTTACCTTCCCTCTCCTGCAGTGCCCTCTTCAGTGTCTCTGTGGCCAGGGGGCGGGGCTAAGAGGAGAGGGTCCTTACACAGCAGAATGTGCTGCCCGTCAGTGCCTGCAGCACATTCTGCGGGACAAGTGACAGCTTCTCCAGCCCTGCCGCTCAGCCACCCGTACATGCTGCAGGTGGCAGGGAAGGAGTGGCACGATCTCCGGGGGGCCCTCTTCTCCCTCGCTGGGCCCCCCCACAACAGGCAGATCGCGAGGGCCCGGTCGCAATTGCGACCGCTGCGACCCTGGTAGTTCCGCCAGTGTACGTATCGCAAGCGGGAATAAAGCTTGACACAGATTGCAGGGCGGAAGAAGGAGACAGGAGCGGGAGGGAGAAGGAGACAGGTGAAAAGACATAGAGGAGAAAAGGGAAGAAGAGGGCGATATAGATGAATAGAAGGGGAGGGAAGGGAGAGAGCAAGAACATTGAGCGGTGAGAAAGTCAACACTCGGGGCTGTCTATTACACTGAAGATGGCCCTCTCAATAAGGAGGGGATAGTCCTGCAAACACTCATTACTTAAACCCCCCCCCCCCCCCCAAAAACCAATAAAAAAAAGAAAGGGGCTGGGGTCCCCCCCCCAGAAAAAACAATAAAAACAGTGAATGTGGTTGGTGTGTTCAAAGTGATGTGTGTGTGCCTGCCACTCCACCACAGCTCAGTAGTCACCAGACCAAGTATCCTGCTACTCTTAAGCAGAGGTGGGATCCAAGGTATGATGAAGCCATATAGAGTAAAATTTGGCGTACCTGTCATTGCAGGTGGCCATCCACTCCTTGAAGGCCATGATGTCCGAGACCATTCTGCTCCACTCCTCCACCATGGGGACGGACGTCTTCTTCCAGTGTCAAGGGGTCAGACGTTTTGCCGCATTCAGAAGGTGAGGGAGAGAGCTCGACTTAAAGTTAGACATGTGGCGGGGCACCGAATGTAGAAGGAGGGGAGCCGGGAGAAGAGGCATGTCTATGTGTAGGATGCTTTATGCAGGCTTGGATCTCCCGTCAATACGGCTGGATCTTAGGACATTCTCACCAAATATGTACGTGTGTACCCACCATTCCACAGTCGCCCCAGCAAAGGGGCGACACTGAGGGGTAGATATGATGTAAGTTGTGAGGAACGCGGTACCACCGGGTGAGCAGCCTATAGTTAGTTTCTTGTACTTTGGAGTTGATAGAGGAGGAATGAGCAAATTTAAAGATATTGGGCAACTCTGTCTCTGTGAACCTCACCCCCAGGTCCCTCTCCCAATCTGCAAGGAAATAAAGGGATTCAGGAGAATCCGTGTGCTAAAGGAGTTTATACATCAAGGAGAGGGGTCTGGAGGGCGGCCCAACCACATATTATTTTTAAAGAAATTCGCAGATTTAAAAAGATTGAGCACAAATCTTGAAAGAACATTGGCATGTTACAAGATTATATGACATTTTAGTAAATAGGTTTAGATCCACTTTTATAATCATGAAGTGGAATAGCATAGCATCACTGGGCACATTGCACAGTCATACCTAGTGCTTGTAACATGGCTGTTCAAAGGGGTCATAGGGTCTTACTTTTGGCCTTAACTGCATGAGAAGTTATGATGATGTATAACATCTTTATGCAAGCCTTATAAATGTGTGTTTTAACAGTTATGGGTGGTTACAGATGGACACCAAGCATGACTGATGGCGAGTGGTTTTCTCGTCCCTACTGCCAGGGACGCAGCTAGGGGAGGGCTGGGGGAGGCATGTGCTCCGGGTGCCGCTTTAGGAGGGGTGTCATTGACTGGGTGGATGGAGAACTTCTAAGCCTTTGCCCCTGGTGACAGAATGTCTAATGTCTCCACTGCCACCACTAGACCACCAGGTTAGAGATAGGGATCGTGATCAGAACAATTACTCCAGTACTGACTATAATACAATCTTCCAGAATTTCAGTTCAAATTTTGAAAGTCAGATCAAATATTTACTGAAGGACTGCTGCTGAAAAATAGCACAGCTAAGACATAAATAATCAAGAGCTACTCATCCATGACATAATTAATCCTCTTTATACACACTGCTAGTATATCTTACATTTTCTCACAGATGTGGAACCAACATTTATTAACCTCTCCATGAACTTTCATCCATTAAATACCTATATATTTGCAGTACATATACACTCACGGGTCAACTCACAAAGCTTGTTTTCTTCATTTCGACCGTTATTTCATTGAAATCGCTTGTTATATAGTTGCTGTGTAAAGGTAGTCAATTCACAAAACTCAAGAACGCTTCTTATTTTTTAAGAAGTGGTAAATGAACATGCCAGATGTTATTTCAACTATTCAGATGTTATTTTAACCACTTGCTGACCGCGGTGTTTACACCCCCTTCCTGCCCAGGCCATTTTTCAGTATTCAGCGCTGAGGTACTTTGACATTTATTCTGTCATGCAGCGCTGTACTTAAATGATTTTTATACCATTTTGTGGGGACAGATAGAGCTTTCTTTTGGTGGTATTTGGTGGGGGGTTTATTTTTTACTATATAACAAAAAAACTACTGAAAATTTTGAAAAAAACAAAACCTGTTTTAACT